TATGGCTCTGTTCTCATCAGGCTACATAACAACTCAATTTCTACAAGAGCTAAAACTAAGAGCTAACAGGTCTTCCATTTTTTCTTTTTGATAGTTTTGTCATGCCAAAATCAGTTTGGGGAGCAAGCCAGTGAACAGCAGAGCTCAATAATGAGTCCCAGCTGCCAGACAATGAGTTACAAGGTTTAGACTTCCACTGCTGATTTTGGTTTTGCTTTGATCTGATTGTTTTTCTAGCCCAGTTCTTCCCCTTTGGATTAAGAAGTAATATAACTTGCTTTTGTGGGGGGTATTTTATTTTATAGGGACCCACAGAGGCTTTAAAAAAAAGAACTTTTAAATTGCTGAAAACTTTAAAGACTATGAGACTGTTAAAAGTTGTAATGTATTCTATATTTTGGTATTAACATGAAATCTTGGGGAAAAACAAGAAAGGAAAGGTTATAGCTTAAGTGATATTTTTGTGTCAAGTTGACAAGGAGTAGTTTGTGTTGGTTAGCTTTTATTGTCAACTTGACACAACCTAAAGTCACCTGTGAGGAGGGAATCTCAATTGAGGAACTGTCCAGATTCTGGCCAGATCTTTAAGAGATTGTCTTGATTAATGACTGACGTGAGAGGGCGCAGCACCATCTCTAGGCAGATGGGACTGGATTACACGAGAAAGTTAGCTGAACATGGGCCAGTAAGCAGCATTCTTCCATGGTTTCTATTTTAGTCCCTGCCCTGATTTTCCTCACTGATGGATTGTGAACTGGGAATGTCAGTCAAATAAACACTTTCTCCTCCAAATTATTGAGGTGGGACAAGCAGGAAGGAGCAAGAAAGGAAAGACGGGCGTCAAGCAGACAGGAAAGAGGCAAGTTGTCACAGCGCAGGGACTCCTCGGACTCTCTCCACTTTAAGGGCAAATCATTCTCAAGTGCTTTTAAGTCTGCAGCTCAGTGCATCACGGGGAAATGGAGGCAGTGAACCCATCTCTCAGGGGCAGATGCACCTACTAATCTGTACTTCATTGCATCTGGGGGAAATAGCTGTGCCTTGTGCCCAATTTTCAAACAGGGTCAGTTGCTGCTGATTCGCTACTGCACAGACTTGTGCAACATTCCTCTTGAGAGAAGCTGACATTACATCACCACCCCCAACTCTGGTCTGTTTGTATTTTCTCTAGGAAACCCTTCCCTGACCAGGGAACAACAGACAGATATTTTCCTATGCATTTTCTTTCTAACCCTGCCACCCGTTTCCTCGTGTGCATGAGGAGGCTGCCATGAGGAACCACTGTTGGATGACTCACCGTTGGGCACTATTTGTAGATGGCCCCTGGCCAGGGCAGGCCTCTTCACACTAGCACCTTCAGACCCTGAACTGTCTAGAGATCAACAGTCCAGTCTGGCTCTCAGTTTCTCCTTTGACCCAACTGCACTGTGGCCATTATTGTGACTCTACAGTAAATCTTTGTATTAAAACTGGCAAATTCCTTTATCATGCTCCTTCATGATCTGAGGCTTATGTTCATTCACACAACATTTAAAACAGCATGATTTCCTCTAATGGTCTTTTAGGAATCTGGGTTTTTACTGTGCTTGTACCTCAATCTGGGAGGAACTGGCACCTCTGCAATTCTTACTGTTTCTATCTGTGCATGCAATGTATTCACTTAGTGGGATCTTGTGGTTGGAACTTTCAACCAAGGTAGGGTTTTTGTTTGGTTGGATTTTTGAGACAGGATTTCTCTGTGTAGCCCTGTCCTGGAACTCACTCTATAGACCAGGCTGGTCTCGAACTGAGGGATCTGCTTGTCTGTGCCTCCAGAGTGCTGGGCAACAAAGGCAGCATTTTTTGTTCACTTGTTTGGTTTTAGACATAGTCTTACTTTGTAGCCATAGCTGGCCTGGCCTAGCCCCAAAGTCAGAGAGACCTGCCCCCCCCCCCCCCCACCAAAACAAGTGCTAAGGGCAGGCTTTTTTTCAAAGCTGCCTTTCCTCATCAATTTTACACTTAGTGCTTTATGATAAGAGTATGCCGTCTATGATTCCAAATTCTGAAATCTGCTTCATGCAGTGTCTGCCATGTCCCTGGATGGATGGGAACAGAGCCAGAAGGCGTGGTGGCAGCCGGCGGTTGTGGGGTGCTGTTAGCTCTTTCTGTCCTCACTGTCAGTGGTCAGGGTGTTCGCATCCACTTCCACAGGGCTACTGATCAAGTGGGGGCGGGGGGGCATGCAAGGCAGCTGTGCAACATTGTGCAGTGCCTGGGATGGCTACTCTATGCTCACCATGATGAAGGGCATTTCAAACACAGCATCAGGCTACATGCCTCTACAATTCCAAGATGTAGAAACAAGAGGTTTTACATTCCCAGGGTGCTTAATGGTTACTGCGGACACACTGGAATGCCAGTTCTCCCATTCACTCTCAATGGTCCTTGTCAAGGGGACCTCTAAGACTATCCTACCGATGGTCTCGAGGTCCCCTTCACAGGTTGGTGCAAGGTGCAGGCTAGTGCATAAGGTAGAGTAAGCACACAGAGCCCAGGTGAGAGTGTATAGTCAGGTTAGTATAGAGATGCACTCTGTCAATATCATCATGCCATCATTTTCACGTTTGCTTGCTTTCAGTACTCCTTTAAATAATGGGGATGCTAAGTAAGGGAGTGACTTGGAAGCTGAAGATGAGGTAAGAGATTCATACCTGGGAGGGTAGCTTTGAAGTTCACTATAGATACTTAGGATGCTCTTGCGCATCAAGAGAAACTCTACTGGGAATTTGATCCTTTCATGAACTACTAATAGATGATCCATATTCTCTTATTTTGGGTAGCAGCAATGAGCTGCAGCTCCCCAACAGTACTTCAGTCCTTAGGGTTAGCAGATGATATCTGGGGTGACAATGCCTACATGGAATGTTTAGTATGTTAGGGGTATTCATATTTTTTTTTAACTTAGGATACTTTCAACTTTTAATGGTTTTATTGGGACATGGATTCATGTCCCAATAGACAATCTGTGGTTTTTCTCCAGAGGAAACTAATTCCTCCTTGGTGTGATTACACTGATGCAAGAAAGTGACAGAAACATAGATGTGAGGGACCAAGCAGTCCACCCCAATGCTTACGTGTCTCTCCAGGTTCTGTGTACCTTCTGCATCACTCCTGTGTCCTAGGACATGGTGCTGTTACCCTTTTTTTTTCTGAAACCACACTTGCCTGAGGCTTGTGGGATGCAAAGGTTCCTAGACACTTTACAAGGCTACAGAGCTGAGAACTGGATGCAAAAGGTGTATGTGGCCATTTTCCAAAGCTGATGGCTATTCTAGAGAAATGGGCATGCAGACACCTTCTATGGCCACTGAGTGGCCATCTGAGAGAGGTGAGTGTAAAGAAAGATAGATGGCCAGGCATTTCAAGAGGCTTCTGAGTACAGAGAATATACTGGACTGTGCTGGGCAGGGCACCACAGAGTTTCTACAGTTCAGGACTGTATCTTGGAGTCTTGGGATCTCAGAAAGCATTCAGAATCCTGAGTAAATCTATCTTAAGTGGTACACAGGAACTGTAGAAGACAGGGTTGTCAGGTGGGTGATTTTGACACAAGAGTTGATTTAAAACATTGAGTAAAGTGGGGTCTGGAAAAGGTGCATGCTCTCATCTGGACAAGACAATTCAGATCTAAGGATTACTCTCCTATGATTCCCATGTCTGATTTGTGGGCATGCATATCCAGATAATTAAGTAGCTAAATGATAACTGTCGCTGCATTTGGGACAAACTGTATTCAATTACACTACAAAGGATTAACATTTTCTAATAGCCATATTTGTATTCTAAGAAAGTTAGGCTTTAAAAAGTCTCCCCAAGTACTTGGCCCAGATAAAGATCATCCTGGCCTTCATTACCCATGCCACTGAGCGGCCATTTTATTTTTCTTTTATGTGGATTATCTGAAGTCTTCAATTTTGTATGTGGTAGAAAGGTACCTTTAGAAGTTGCACACAAATCACATAGTCTTGCCAAAAAAAAAAAAAAAAATAGAATAATAGTCATAGGATAAGCCATTTTGTGATGAGCAACCAAGATACTACATCGTTCTTGCTGGTTGTTTTTTGAGAAAGTGTTTCTTTATGGCTTTGGAGGCTGTCCTGGAACTAGCTCTTATAGACCAGGCTGGTCCTGAACTCACAGAGATCCACCTACCTCTGCCTCCCGAGTGCTGGGATTAAAGGCGTGTGCCACACGCCCGGCCATTCTTGCTGTTCTAAGGGATACCTTAGAATGGGCAATTGTCAACAACATAAGTTTGCTGCTTCCAAACAAGGAAGCTAAATGTCTAAAGATCAAGATGGCAGAAAGTTGTGTGTGGTAAGGGCCCAGCTCACTTTCCAGAATGGCATCTCAGATGCTATGTCCTTACATGGTGGAAGAGATAAGGGGGGGTCAGCTCCTCCAATGTTCAAGAGGCAGAACCTCAAAGACCCAACTAGTTCATGGCAATCTTGCCTTCTAACACTAACACCTTGGTGATTAGGCTTGAATATACAAATATCAAAAGACAGAAACATCCAAACTATAGCATCGAGTACTTCAAACCTCACAGTACAATTGCAATGGTTGTATATTAGTTTACATTAAGCTGCAATAATCTACAAACGGCCCACTAAGAGATCCCAAGAACTCTATGAGAAAGGATAAAACAAACTGACACAGAAAAACCAGCCATGATCTGTCTCTTACACGAATGCCTCACCAGTCTGTAAATCAAGTGGACCAGAAATACGCTCTACTAACTCCAGTGTTCTCAGCTATAGAAACTCCACAAGACCCCTTCAGGTCATCCTCGAACATCTAGCTTTGCTGGGGTAAAGAATCTAGCTCTATAATAGCCTTTCAACAGGGGTACTGATGATCCTTCCCCTTGAGTCTAGAGCTTCACTGAATCCCACAGCCTGGCTTTCAGGTCTGCATTGGCATGTATGTTTCTCCATGGGTGGAAATGCCTGCCCTGGCACCACAAGAAGACTGGGCCATCCTGGAAATTATTTCCTGGCCCTACCTGGTCCCCATCCACTCAATTCTACCATCTACCCACAATGGTCACCCTTGTCTGTAATGAGTTCTTAGCATCAGCAACTGAGGACAGGATGAGCAGAGCCATGTAGTCTGCTCAGGGTGAATGTGCACCCGGAGGCCCACAGCCTTGGTGTCTAAGTAGCCAAGGGCATGTCTGCCGTGATGATCAGAGAGTGAGATACTATGAATTCAGACATAGCAGTGCCAGCCAACCTGTAACCAGAAACCACCAAACATGGCCTTGTGGGTATGGCTATACCCAGACAGGGATTTTCATCCCATATTTATCTATTGTTTGTGTGTTGCTTTATCAAAAGGAAAAAAAAAAAAGGCAGCGTGTATTTTTCACTACAGGAATTACCATGCAACAAACAGTGAATTCATATTTCGTGTTAGTTAATTCTTAAGACCCCCTGTGCCCTGCCTGCAAATCTTTCCCTGATACACATCTATTTCCTGCCCCATTCAAAAGTCAAAGTCTGCCTCTGAATGACAGCATGACTAGTTCTTTGGCAGGTCTAGAGTGTCTCAGGGCACTGAGTGGTGCACACGCGGGCATGTCCTAGGGGGAGATGCTAAACCCAGCAAATGTTCAAACCTGGTTAGGAAGAGGTGGCTCATGTTGGAGATACAGTTACGCAGTGGAGTCCTTGACTGGCATGCTTGCGGTCCTAGGTTCAGTTGCCAACGCTAAGGCTAGACACCCTTCTCCTGCTTTGTCCCCTCACTCTCTTCCCCAGCATCTCCTAGAACAGCCCTACCCACTAGCGTCTCTAAAGCCCCTAAGGAGTCACCTTCTCTCATGGCTGCTGCCCATCACCTCTTGGTCCCTACAGGCTCAGCGTCACCATCATTCCAAGTGGCTCCTGTTCTCTCTTTTGCACTCAGCTGTCCACTGGAGGTGAGTCAAGAGGCAGACCAAGACTCTCCCTCTGTCCCCCACAGGCTCCCTTGGGAGGTTTTTAATCCTCCAAATACAGACCATACATCCATATTGCCATGCTACCAGGAAATACCTGAACAGAGATAGGTCCAGCTAGAGAGGCATAGGTTCAAGCCCAGGAGTCCACTTCCACATTCGGCATCTTACTAACTATAGAAGATGTGAAAGCCTTTTGTTTTTGGCTCTGAGCTCTTAGGCCTTGTACTTGGGTAAAATCCATGCTTCCATCTGGGCTCTTCAAAGGGCAAGTTTGGCTTGCCCAGGTACGTTTAATGGCCTTTTTAGAATACCTTCACAAAATAGTTCTGATAATGTCACCTGACTCAAGTGCACAGCAAGTGCCTTGCCTGCCTTGGCCACAGGTGGTAAGCTACACTCTGCCAGGCCAGCATGTAGCACTCATATCGTGGGGGTCAGTAGGATCGTAAAAGGCTAGGCCTGTGTGTGGGAGGGAAGCCCTGGACTGCAGCAATTTGACATCAGGCCAAGTCCTCAACACAAGCAAGAGTTAGTGCTAAGAGGTTAAAAAGATATCCAAGGTCGTACAGATACAACAGACGTCAGAGACATGGAGAAAACAGATTAATATTATTGTGTAATATTAATATTAGTAGCAATTGACAGCAACATGCAGGAAGGTACACAATAATGAAGAGAAGGCTAGGAGAGAGAGAGAGAGAGAGAGAGAGAGAGAGAGAGAGAGAGAGAGAGAGAGAGAGAGACTGAGAGAACTCACATCTGGGTGGGGGATGGCGTACTGTCCCTGGATTGTGTAGGCCTGGAGAAGAGAGCGAGAAAGAGAGAGACAGTCAGCTTGGGATGGGGCGGGACCTCAGCTTGTCAGCCTCTGGTGACCCATCCTAGTATAAGAACCTTCTGGGCACAGTGTTCTCCATCAATGTACGTCTCCACCTGACCTTGCTTGCCTAAGATGGGGGGTGGTCCTCAATTACAACTGGTGAGTCCTGGAACTGCCCCCTCCCTGAGCTGTGGCCATCTACTGTTCCTAACCCCCATTTCCTCTCTTAACCTTGTAAACATACAGAGGGCCACTGATTATCAGCTATCAGAGCAAATACTTTGGGGGCAAGATTTAGCCCCCAATACATTCAAATGAAAACAGAAGTTTTCAAAGTGACCAGAATGAGCTTTGCCAAAGCTGTGCTAACAAATGGTTGTAAATCAGTCATTGGACTGACCTAATTTGTTTTTACTACCAAATTTTATACCATCATTTCAAATAGGGAACACCTGTCTAAGGACAGTGTGGTGTCATCATTTCCCCTGCCAAGCACAGCAACCACCCAGCCTGCAGGCTCCTACCCAGCCTCACCCTGAAGCCCAGGGACAGCAGAGCCCTCAACACTCCCTTCAAACAACAGACAGACAACACAGTCAAGGGAGGGCAACACGACAGACAATTGTCTGGCTTCGGGCAGTACTACACCACCCTGGTGGAGTCACAGACGTAAGGACATGGATTCCATCACCTGGCTGGTCTAGACCTGTGGCCACCCTTGAGGTCTCTGGGCATCTGAGAGGGTTACCTCAGGGGATCATGTGTCACTTCTATGGACCCAGACCCTCACACATTTTTTTAAAAAATGTGCCAAGAGTTCTTGTCACAACCAAACTCAGGAGATCAAAGCCATGTGACCACCTAACAGGGACCCAGCCATAGGGTAGCTGTGAAACAGACACAGTTCCAGCAAAGAATGAAGTCTGTGCTAGGATGGCCTGGCCGTGCTAGCAGAGGAAGAAAAATCACCTCATGAGATACAGCGGCACTGTAGAGGAAGAGACAGGCCACTGCTCTGGGAGGGACGGGGCTGGACACAGTCCTGACTTTTAGAAAGCTTCTGCCAGGAATGATCTCCCAGGTATTACCAGAGGGAGCATCACCTGAGGAAGGGGCCGCTGTTCTCCAAGCCTTGTATGTCCGAGCTGGACCCAGGAGCGCAGTCTAGGTAACTGTTGATTCCAGGCTCATGTCTAACTGCCTTCACTCCCTATATGGGGCTGTCACGTCTCAGTACATTCTACCTAGGGAGTCGTCAGTTTGGCCAGTATGTAACAGCGGCTTCAGTGTCATCTGCCCCACCTAAAGTGTCACTCTAGGCAGCCTCCTCTGGGTCTATCTCATGTCTTAGACACACGGAGGTGGGACTCTGGAGGGGACCTACCCAGCTCTAATCTGCATCTTTACTTCTGAGTTTGTGTCTGGGCTTTCCTACTAGACCGCCTCCTGGCAGGGTGACTCCCATATCAGTCTGTCCCCTGTGTATACCCAAGGCCATCAAGGCCAGACCAGACAGTCCCAAGGAAATGGTGGTGGGCTTTTACAAGGCTACCTACCCCTGCCTGGAGAACCTTCACTGCTGTGACTGGAGTGGGGGTTACTATTGACTGTTTTATAGGTGAGTGGGGCCCAGTGATCCTGGCCATGATCTCTTCTGTAGGGGTTCTGCCCTTGGAATTGGGGCTGCGACTCCATGCCATGTAGTTTTTATAGAGTTGACATTCATTTGCATAGGGGCCTTCAGAATAAAATTCCTTATTTCCTTCTATGGGACTATTGTGGATTTGACAGAGAGATAGTTTACACCGGTTACTGACCCATCAGCTAGTAATGAATCTGGGGAGAACAATGGAGACAGAGCTTTGATGGGCATGGCAATGGGGCTGTGTGACCGAATGTCTGATGTCAGAGTACTGCCCTGAGCCTCAGTGGCTACGAGGCTGGCAAGATCTGTGTACAGTGGAAGGTGTCACATGCTGGGTCTGTATCAGAGCATAGGACTCTCTGTCAACAACGGGGCAGAGCTGAGTCAGGAGACTCTGTGTGTGTAGTCATGCATGCACATGCACACTTACACACGTGTAAAATGGCAGGATAGGGAGGGAGATGGGGGCAACAGGTCTGACCCACACATGCTACACCAGCTGCTGCTTTTCCCCAGAAAGACATAGTTAGACTCTTTTATAAGTTTTCTCTGCCTTACTGTTTTTGAATACTGAAGTAAAACCCTGTGTCTATTCTGCCAGCTGGGTCACCTAAGGGGAGTCTCTGACTGAATTCTCCCTTGAACAAAGACACACATCGCGGCTGACAGGACACAGAGCTCTTCTGGGCAGACCCCTGGCTGTCCGTGTTCAAGTCACCTGTGTGGATGGGTCTCATGGACCTAAGGTGGGCACCTGAGTTTGGAACATGTAAGGAAAGCCAGCGCTGCTTATAAACAAAAGCTGTTCTCCACCCTCCCTTCCATCCCTCTTCTCTAGGAAACAGGTGCTGGCCATGGAGTCCTCAAGGGCAGGTTTGTAAATGTGAGCTCTCTGCCTGTAAGGATGTCTACTCAGGCAGACAAGGGGTAGCAGGGATGGAGCCCAGCCACAGTGGAACATGGGCTAGCCTGAGGTGATTCATCTCCTCACAGGGATGTGCCTGCCATGCCCTCAGTATAAGTGCTTCAGGAAAGTGGAACCTCGGTCCCACAGCTTTAGAGAATTCAAACACCATGGTCACCCAGAATGTTTCTGTGTATTAACGACCTAAGCTGTCCAGAAACATCCACAGAGGAGGTCTGGCAGACATTGTTAGGCAGCACCTCAACGGGCATCGGTCTGCAGGTCTCTCACTGCGAAACGTGCCCAATGGGTGGAGCTGTGAGCTGCAGCTGTGCCTCCCTAGCGCCCCCCCACCCCGCCCACTGCCTGGTGTGAGCCAGAGAGCTCTGTGTCCATCGCAGGGTGGGAGACGTGCACGTGAGAAGGCAAGAAAACCTGAGTGCACTAACGGGCAGCGGCGGGTGCTGCAGTAAAAGGCTGAGGTTGGCAGTGGAGGCCGCGAGCGGGTCGGCTCTTACCTGACCACCTGCAAAAATGACAGGGGTGGAGGCGGGCTTTGGGCGGTAGGGAATGGTGGCACCTTTCGGTGGGGACTAGGAAAAGGGACAGGAGAGGGAGAGAGCGGTTAGAACAGCTTTGCTGTTGGCCTTGGGCTGCCTTCCCACGCCCACCCCTCCGTGGGACCCCCAGCCCTTCAGATATGGCCTGCAAAGGCTCCATAGGCCACCACAGTGAGGGGAGGGGCCATCCAGGGACATGAAAAGGAGATGACCCTGCCCTTGGCACACTGAGGCAGGCTGAATTTGACATCTTCATTGCTTCCTTCCTTGGGATAGACATCCCTTTTCCTGGCCTGCACTGTTTGCTACTTGTCCTCAATAGTTCCCCAGCTAGCTGGGCAGGAGCAGGGCTCCACAGGCATGCCATGGCGGGTGGACTGCTTGCTGGCAAAGGGACTGTTAGCAGGTGGCCCCCAGGGGCTATGCCACTCTGCCCACTGCTACCCTTTCCTCCTGGTACGATCCCCATGGGATCCGACAGTAGATAACAGCAGTGACTTCACAAAGGAGCAGCTTGCATCCTTTGATTTTTTAAAACAGTACTCTTGAGTCCCTGGAAAAAGCCAACCTTGAGCACAACTGGCATTGGGAACTATGTCTGGAAACCCAAGTCCTCTGCCTCTCCTATAGCAGTGGTCATTAGAGCAACTTAGGGTCATCCATTCCATTTCACCAGTGAAAAATTGGGTGGCTCGCAGAGGCCAAATGAGATTCCATGATGACGACATCAGTGGAATTTTCCTTGACTACCTTTGTGTCCAGAATAAAGATGTCTCCTCTTAGCTTTTAGCAAGTGACAAGTAACTATCCCACAGGCCATCCCTGCAAGGACAATGGCCACAGCCTCTGAGGGTGTGACCTTGGAACATTCCTTACCCTGGATCTGACAGTAATGGGGGAAGGACAGTCTGAGCTGGCCCTCGGGAATACCCATATTCCCCATTGCTGGGGTGCTGAAAATTTCTTCCAAGAGCCTCTGTGCAAACCTGGCTTGCCAAGGTTTCCCAGACAGGACAAGATTATGCCAAGAGCTCCCATGTGTCCTGCACTGACTGTAGCTGCTCCATTGTTTCTGCCAAGTACTCCAGATCCTGGCATGGTCATCATCTGTGCTCCAGGCTGCTTCCTCCCAACACAGGAGCTCCCTGTTCAGAAGGTCCAGTTTCATTTTACCCACCCACAGAAAAGTGACCTTCTGGGCTAAGACCATCAACATCCCTGGGCAGGCAAGGCACACAGGCTGTTCTCACAGGTGCAGGAGGCACCAGAGTTGTGAGGCACGAGGTCTATAAAGGCAACACTTGCTTTCTTTGCAGACTTCACCCAAGTATATCGACTGGGGGCACAACGGGTACCCCTTAAGCAAGTTTGAAAGACCGTTGATTGACATTTAGGGTCTGAGATCCATCTTTTGCCTTTTCCCAGCTGTTCCTCAGGTGGAGATGAGGATGTTTTCACTGTGATGTCTTCCTTCCTGGTGAGGGGGCCATTCCCTTCAGCTTCTGCCAACTGCATCATGCAAAGGAGAGTAGGGTGTTGTTTTTAGGTCAGCCTCTGCTGCTGACATCCACAAGTGCGTGTGTAGCCATGGTTTCTCTCACACAACAGCGCCAGGCATTGGCCCCACTCTATGTAGCCGGAAGTCTCCTAGGGATTTCTGACAAGGACTCACTCATACGCTGTCCTGAGCAGCTGGCAGCTGGTTCTGATGTCCACTGCAGAACCGCTACCACTGAGCTCAGCATATGTTTCTCACTGCTTAGGGCAGATGCCAGTACAAAGAGCTGCAAGTCCTTAGTCATGACCCTCAGCCTCTGGGCTCCTGCAATTGGACCATCCTATCACCCTGATCAGTGTGAGGGGAAAGCTGCATGAGAATAACACTTGAAAAATATCTTTAACTTCAGAAAATATTCCTTAGGAAAAACTATGCAAACATTTAAAAAAAAAGTTAAATGTGAGGTTTGACCATGATGTCAATTACACAGAGCAGATGACACAGCAGCTGGTTAGGAGTTAGTTCTGTGGAGATGTGGTAGTGGCCTCAGCTCAGGCTGTGGGAGGGCAGAGGTCAGCAGTGCTCCAAACGGTGAAAGGTCTTGTTTGAGGAAGGGTCACAGAAGTGGCTTGAGGGAAGACCACAGTGCAGGAGTGGCTGGGGGTTCTTTTCCCCCCCACCCCCCCCTCCA